AAACATATAAATAATTGAGTCATGATACAATTATTTTTGAGAATTTTGGGAATTGAGTCAACAGCAAAATAATTTATGCCACATGTATAGTCCATAGTGTAGTGGTTAACACTCCACAGGTCAGATCACAAGATATCAGTTCAATCCCAGGTGAAGGTGGTTGAACTGAATCAAAAATGGTATCTGGGGCCATAACCTATAAAAGTCCTGTTTCCTATAAGAAATCATTTGCATGCTGATCCAGTAGGACGATAGAATTGTAATCTTCAAAAAAGGTGTGTGGCACGTTGATCATCTGGAAGTGGTATAATGATCATCAGACAAGTTGCCAAGAACCAACCATATATTTGAAAGTACAGACTGGGCTATACTCCATCTTAACTAACCCAGGTAAGCCTTTTCCACTGTTAATTTCTGAAAATAGAGAGCCTTGAAGAGAGCATCAATCTGGTGCCATCATGGAATGATATGGCTAGCCATATAGCGAGACAGAGTATATAGAAGTTGCGTCCTGCTTGATCAAAATGACCCCTAGATTTGACAACCTATGCCAACTGGTCCAAATCTGAAGTGTCTACTAGGAGTTTAAGAATCGATCCATAAGTGGCAGTGAGTTCATACTTACATAAAGATCCTTAAGGAGTTACACCCCACTTGGCCAAAATGGTTCCTAGATTTGGTAGTGTCCAACCAGTGGTCAAAACCGGAGCATTTACTAGGGAGTATGTGCTTGCGTCAAAGGTTTCCCTCTGCTTACTTGATGGATTGAGAGAGGTGTGATGTGAAAGATAATCTATATAAAGATAATTAACAGTATAAGTCTTTTATAAGCATATAAGCCCTATAGGTTAGGTAGTTTAAAACTAGTAGTAAGATTTCTATCCCCTATAGCCTCCTGATATCACAAAGAAAAATCATTAAGTGACAGGTTTCTGAGTATCAGATGAAAGTTAATAGATTAGTATTTAGTTGTAGTCAATGTATTACAAAGGATATTTGATGTAATGTAATATTGAGTATTAATAAAAAATTTGCATCTAATGCCGTTTAACTTTAAAATAATAATAATAATAATAATAATAATTTTCAAAGCATTTTAAACATTATACATAATTCAAAAAGAATAAAACTTCAAAAATATTTAAAATAATTCAAAATTTACATAAAAATAAATTAATTTATACTATAATACATAAGAAAAAATATGTAAAACAAAATTTTACTCTAATTTAATTGAATCAAAAAATCTCTAAAGTAATATGAAAATTCAAAATCTGCTTGTAATGCCTGTTAATATAACACTTGATTATATATTAAATAATTCAGAGCTATATAAAATCCGACTGTTATATTAATGAGACCTTATTTGGAACAAAAATATTTTTTTATTAAGTACTCAAATAAATTACTTTAATTTTTGTAAAATATTGAAAGTCTATGTTTTATTTAATATTACTCTGGAGATCTTTGAATTATTTCATTATTAATTTTTTAAAGTTTTTTAAAAATCTTCGAAATATTACTTTGGAAATTTACAAAAATTTTTTTTAAAAACAAAAATTTTTATAATTTTTTCACAAAAAATTTTCCTGATAATATTAAGAAGCTTAGAAATGTAGCTATTTTTAAATCTTATATTTAATTCTCTTTTAAAAAAAACTCTTTTCACTTTCTTTCCTATGCTTAAAAATTTCTTTTTTAAGAAATTTTAAGTTGTTTTCTTTTTTTCTTCACTTTTCCTTTTTCTCCAATACTATTTACCTTTTCTATTATTCTCTTCTTTCCTCTTCCTTTGTTTCTTCCTTCTTTTTTACAAATTTTTCTTTTACATATACCCTTTCCTCTTCTTTTTTCCCTTTACCTACCAAAGTTAGATTTTTTTCTTCTCTCTGAAGTTTTTCCTCTCTAGGCCTCTCTCTCTTTTAAAAGTTGCCACTCTCTATTTCATCACCTTTCTGGCCAGTTGACTCCCTTATTTCAAGAACCATATTAAGAAGTAGTAACTTCTTTTATGTTATGGACCTTAAGAAGTTTTTCACTTCTATGATTTTTTAGAAAAAGAATAAATGGTTTACCCTCTCCAAAAGATCAGTATAGTCATTATTACCATATTTGATATTGTTTACTTGTTGATGGTTAGATTAGATATATCTAAGAAGCCATTGTACAACTATTGTTATCTGAACTCCTAGGGAGTTGCGTTTTACTGTATCCAGTAATATGGCAGTCAATGTCAGTGTAGATTTCTACAAGTGATAGGCTAATGTCTGGGATATTTAGTAAGATGACACATGATGATCAGAAATTCTAGTTACCTTCACAAACAGAGCTAGTGTCAACAATAAAAGTTTCTTGATTACTTCTTGACAATGTAGGTCCATGTATATGGTTAGGTAACAATGTCTTTAAGAAATTCCAATTCAATTCTATCCATTGGATACTTCTGCCACACTTGAAAAATGGATATGCTAAACTTTTTATATGACTTGGAAGCCAACCTGTGAAAAGTGGCTGCAATACCTTCATATATAGAAAAAAATCAACTCTCTTCTTCTCTACTTCTCCACCTGTTATACATTAAGCCAACTTTAAAAAGCAAGCATGCTAAATTCTATTCATGACTTGAAGGCCAACCTGTATACTTGGTTGCAATGCCTTTATGTGTTTGGGTATTTTTAATTCTTCCTAGTTCACACTAGGTACCTGTCTAAGTATTAAGTCTAGATTTTAATATTACATTTTACTAGTGCTTAGATGGGTTTATAGAACAATAATGAAATAGTCGGAATCACTTTTGTTGTGTCTTACATTAGACTCTTCTTAACAAAGAGAGATGTATATTTATTTTTAGATTTGTAATATTGCCATATAGCAATCTCTTATAAATAATAAAGATACTAATTGCTATTCTGGTATTAAAATAAATAAATAAATAAATAAATCTTATATTTAACTTTTTTTAACAAAGAAAAATATATATTATATTAATGAATTGTAATCTTGTAATTACAAGTCAAAAATTATAATAAATAAATAAAATATAATACTTATTTACTTCTAAAAAAAATAAAATAAAAATAATACAATTTGAATTATAATATATAATATAAATATAATTTGCAGATTTTAATGAGTTCAGATTTGAACTCTTTTCACTAATTCTCTTGCCAATATAAAAAACAGACATTTCAAAGAAATTTTTATATTTATTTATAATAAAGTCTATATACTTTCTTTAATAATATTAATATTTAGAGACTTTAGTCTCTCCCTTTTTGTTTCTTTCTAAACTTCCTATATTTTAGTAAATAAATATAAGAAAAATCTACCTATAAAGTCAAAGGCATAAATACTTTGTTAGGAAAAAGAATCTGTAAAAAAAATATATACTTTTTTCCTCCAGAGATTCAAGACTCCAGAAAAGATTGATATAGGCTTTTAAAATTCTTTTTTTATCTTTTTCAAGTTTTTCTTCTATTCTTTCAAGTATATATATTTTTTTCTAGTTTTTTTGAAGAATTTTGCCTATTTTAGTTTGATATTGAATTTTTAGTTATACCAGAACTTCTGAATAATAATTGATTAGAAATTTGGATTGGTTGATCTATACATAACAAGAAATGTAAACAAAATATATAACTCCTATATGCCCTATCTTATACAACAATAAATCTGATAATATTATTGAATACAATAAAAAAGACAAGGTGACAAGATTTCTGATTTGTCAAGATGTGTTATGGTACTTTTTCTTACCTTTTGAACTGGTTTCTTTTCTCTTCAAGATTAAAAAAAGTCTTATTTCAATTTAGTAACAAGCTTTTTTTATTATTGATTATTTTAAGAAGATATCAAGCAATAATTTTCTAAGGTATAAGTCTTGTTTTAAGCAATAATTTCTTGTAGATATAAGACTTGTATAAGTACTTTAAATATTTTTGATTAGCAATGAAATAGTAGAAATTAAATAGGTTGTTCAGTTGCAAGTGATGATAAAGAATTTATTCCAATGAATTGAAGTTGATATTGAAGGGTTTTTATTTATTAGAACAAACTTTTTAATTAATTTTTTTATTTCTCTTTTTTTTTCTTAAAAAAAAAATTTTTTTATTTCTTAGAACTACAGATTTGTATTAAAGTGACAGTTTGAATATAGGCTGGTTGAAATCTTCAAGGCATAATCTTCGATGCCTAGTCTTGAAAAGAAGCAATTTTTATTATTCTCTATAATTACATCTAGAGAATTAAGATTTAGAAAATCTAAGATAGTTAATATTACATAGTAATAGCTTAATGAATCTACTTCCTTATAGTGAGATAGCTAGTAAATAGCTAAATCATGTGGGCAACACAGTAGTCTTGATATTAAGGATTCAAGAATTATATACAAATTTAAACTTATTAATGGGTGTTCTGCAAAATTGTATTAGTTTAACTTCAATATAATATTATATGTATTGTGTTACTGTTTTCTAAAAATTGGATTAATAAATGCTTTCATATGAGTCTGATTAGAGGCAAAAGAAAAAAAAAAATAATTTGCAGATTTTAATCTTATTAAAAGAATTAAAAGAACTAAAATTTTAATTTTATTCAATAAATAATATTTCCATACTATTTTAAATTGGATTAAGTAACAGTTTATAAACATGTGATTTCGACCTGATTGTGGGTAAAAAAAGAATTTTTTATTTTTTGTAAAATACGATTTGTTTGCAAAATACGGTAATTGTTTATTTTTAATTTGCTGTCACGATTCACGTATTGATGTTTACAAATTGCAGTTCATGTGTTTGATCAGTCTAAACGTAACTTTTATTTTTTAGAACAGAACAATGAATAACAAGACATATGGACACATCGACATGGATGAGATCAGGACACAATATTATAATACTCCAAACATCACCGAATTAAGAGCCGCGTTAGTAATGTCAATGCAACTTCGTTGTTTATTATAATGAAAATTTAGTCATAACATTTTTTTGCATGTAAATGTAGTGTTATTCGAGCAAGACTGGAGGCTTTTAAAATGCTTAAGATTTACAAAGAATACGTTTTAAATAATGATAATGCAGAAAGAGTAGCGAGATATAATGCCAAATGGGAAAAAAGTATGGATAAATTGAAAAGTCGTGTAGATCAGATGAAAAGACACGGTTCGACCTTTACTCTTTCGCGAGATCTGGTAGACTGCAAACTTTCAGAATTTTTCGAAAAGGAAAAAGCGAAAATGGGTGTATTTGATAGTATGAATCCTTACACCAAAGATGGTGTCGAACCATCCAGTGCTTTACAGGAAACGCCTATTGCTAAAGAAAGCTCGTTGAATGTAATGGATCTGGAGGATATACACCAACATTCACAATCCTCTGTTCATTTTGACGTTGAAAATTCACCGGAACAACCTCAAAAAGAGAGGAGACAAAAAAAAACCAAAAATATTCTTGGACCCGTTATCGTGAGCAATAAAAATAATTACAAAATTACACTTCCATCGGGAAACCAATTACCACTCAAGAATTTTATACATAAAAAGACAATAATGCGCAGATATTGGCGGCCTTTGCCATTTAAAAAACCGTCATCTCGCACGATTGGTCATAACTATTACGAAGTTTTGGATAATATGTGGAAAGAAAGCAGTGATGGATGCATAGAATTGTTGGATACTGATCAAGAGGATAAGGCAGTAATAGTTATTTCAAGCGAAGATGAAGATTCTGAGTTGGAAGTTTCATTACCTACCAAGACTTCAAATCATCCAATGGAAATTTCACAATATTCAGCATCGAAGACTCCAAATTCTCATATAGAATGTTCTCAACCCTCAATATTCAATATAATGTCCAAAATTCCAAACCCTCAAATTGAGAGCTCACTGCCATCGGTTTCCAAAAAATTGATTACCCGAAAAGAAAGTTCGCGACCGTCTATGTCTAAAAATTCAAATCCACAAATCGAAAGTTCTCAAGTCTACAAGCCTATAAGGTCAAATTCACGAAATCAAGATTTGCAAAAGTTACTAGTGCAAACACAATCTATTGCTGATTCTGTATTAATTGAAATAAACGCGTTTGACTTAGAAGCAAATGAGGTGAGTTCTTCGAATATTCCGAGTTTATTCGTTTCAAAGAATCCATTTTCATATTCATTCGTTCGATGATTATAGTGTTTGGCACAAGCGTTATTAGAACAAGGTAAGTATTTTAATAGGATGTTAGGTTTTCGAAAATATTACTGAATACATATTACGTTTATTGTATATGCAGAGCTGAATAAGAAGTCGCTTTTTGATCGGCGTAATTATAAACTTCAAAGGGCAATCGAAAAAAATAAGGATTTGGTAATAAAAAATTTTAATGTGTGGATTTTATTCGGATGAGAGAAATACAATATAATGTTTACTTTATGGAAACAATAGCGAGCTGATTTACCAGAGGATATTGATGAGACAGCCTTACTAATGAAATATCTTGTGGATAAAGATTTAACCCTAGATTCTGATGATGAATCACCACAGCCCAATGTTGGTCAGGGCGTTTCATTAAATCAAAATCATATTCAGGTAAGATCCTGTTATATCTCAATTTTTTTCACATTACAAGCTGTACATATATTGTATCTTTTAGGTTGATTCACATAAACGAGAAGAAATGAAAAAGAAATTTACCCAGTTGAGATCGTTTAACTTTAAATGTGGTAGCGGTGATGTTAATGAGACGGCCCTTGATTATAGTAATCCCGAGGAGTTCGTATATTAAAATTTGTTATTACTTATTTTCCTATTTTCATACCTATCTCTTACAATGCATAAATTATTAACAGGCCAAAGATAGCAATCGCATACATTGCGAATTCAGATCCAAACTATAATTCCATGGGGAATTTGCAATTTTGTGATGTCTTAAACGGTAACGTATTTTTATTAATCAATTTCTATGTCTTAGTCTCATTAATCAAGCAAACAAAACAACCTCTAGGTTCAGTATATAACTTGTATGGTCATCTTGAAGAAGATGCGATAACCAAACAAGGTAATTTTTTAATTATGGAATAAAGTTTCGTGTTAATGAATCGCTATAGTAAAAAATTAAAGGATGTTTTTTTCTTAGACCTATGGACCACCGTAACCGATGTGAAATTTTCTCCTGATGGAAAACTTCTTTTTTCTGCATCAACTGATTGCTCCATAAAGGTTTGGATACTTTATTTTTACAAAAATCACACATGTATGTATTAATTATATTATATAAAAAATATTTTATTAAATGGGGTAGATATGGAAAACTTGGGATCATCAGCAGAGTTTCCAAAGTCCCTTGAATACAAAAGGTTTTACATAAATATTTTTTTTAGTTTGATGATTATGAAAAATAATTGTATATTGAAAATAAAAAAAAGTATGTAAATCAAAGGTCCATAGGATTTCTGTTTCTCAAAGACCGGAACGTGGATCACTGTACCAAATTGCTTCGTGCGAAGATTCAGGGTAATTTATATAACTATTTCATTATCAATTGCTTTATGAAACACAAGTAGCCATAATATGTATTTTTAATAAAATCAGCATGGTTCAAGTTCATTCCATCAGGAAAGATAACTATGGAGAATATGACACGACATCGATAGAATGTTTTGATGAAAAATGGAAAAATGATGATCTTCGAAGGGTATCAAGCGACGTCGTATTTGGCATGGACAATAATGTAATTTCAGGTTATGTTGGATCTCGAATAAATCGAAAAGGTGAAATCAAAGTTTGGGACATAAAAAGCAGAAAGAGAATGTGCAAGAGTTCAATTTCTATTTCGAGTAGTGTCAGTTGTTTGGATATTTCTCATGACGGTAAGTCAATGAATTTTGAAAATCTTTTGTACTCAAAGGTAATAAATTTGTTATTACTTTTTATTTGCTCAAATAGGACAATGGGTGGCATGTGGAACGACAGCTTGTGCAGGTGAAGTTGAAGGAGATGGCAAAATGCACATGTGGGATCTTAGATCGAAAAAAACTATTATTGGAACTACAGAAGAAAAAGATGCCAATGTGATATCGATAGCACCCAATGATCAATATGTTGCACTTGGCGGCATATCGAACACGGTTCATGTCTTTGATAGAAGAAATATGAAAAAAAGTCTTCATTCGTTGGAACATGAAGGTTAGTTCAGTAATAAATTTGACTTTTACCGGGCGAGAAACTTTGCAGAACTTTTTTCATGGTATCATCTTAACATTATCTATTTTTTTTTTTGCTAGATCCTAATGACGGCCTACCACATGATGGTATTATGTCCTTGCAATGGATTCCAGATAGTAGTATTTTATTAAGCGGTGGAAATGATTCTACTGTTCGTGTGTGGAATGTCGATGCAGCCGTTAACAACAGTCCTTTACTTTATAAATTTGAAAACCATGATAGTCCGGTTACTTCTATTAGAATTTCACCTGGTAAGTTTCGTAGATTATTTATTCTGAAAGGATATTTGAATTAATTATTGTTTTTCATTTAACAGATCTAAATTTTATGTTGGTTGGAGTGTCAACTGGAAAAGTTTACGTTTACACGACTAATGAAACTTATCTTAAACGTGGAAATTGTATGAAGTACTTGTAAATATGGCAAACGAACAATATTTTGCAATTACTTTAGTTGATAAGCTTAGATTTCATTATCCCTGAAAATAAACCGATATTAATTCTGATGGTGGTTTTTAGGCCAAAATTCAGATTGAACTCTTAATGTATATTAGTCCAATAAAGTGCATTGCTTAATAAATAGCTCAACCACATCTTTTAAATGAAAATATAATCACAGAACGTGAAATTAAAATATTTTAATATTTTTAATTCGAAGTTTAAGTTTTTAATGTATATAAATTTGTATTTTTCTAAATTTATATATTAAAAAAACGTAAATTTTCAAAAAATTTATATTTATTTATTTAAAATCCAAAACATTATCATTATATAAATCAAGATTTTATTTTTATAATTTATTGTAATTAATAATAATTTTTTAATACTATATATCAAAATTTAAAAAAATTTATAATAAATAAAATAAAAATATATTTATAATATTGACAAATTTTTTGAAGTTTTAAAAAACAATAAATTAAATTCAAAAAAACTGAAATACTACATATAAAAAAAAACAAACAAATAATGTTATGCTATTCAAATTATTTAAATAATAAAATATAAAAAAAAAAAACAAGCCAAAACTGTATTTTTTTATTTTGTATAACAAAAAAAATAAATACATGTATATTGAAATAGTAAAAGATAAATAAATATTAATTTTCAATATTAATATGTATATATATATATAGCATCTAATTATTAGTAATATTTGTAAAAAGTATATCTATAAAACATGTATTATTTTTTTTAATGTTAGAGTGAGGTATTACTCATGATCTTTATTAATAAAGTAAAAGTTTAACTTGTTACATAATTAA